CGAAAAGCAGCAAAGTAAACGATTAAGGCATACGTAAGGATAATTGGACTTTGCTTCAGGTACCCCACCCAGCCAGCCCCACCACCGGTGGTCAGACCTTATGTCCCCATCTCTGGATCTCCACCCTGTCGGCCCTTTGACTTGCCCCTTCCCTTGCCTCCTTCAAGGCCTGCATCAAGTCTTTCCTCTTTAACCATGCCTTCGGTCATCCTCCCATCTCACCCCCCCACCCCCTTGCCCTCCACCCCTCTTGATTCCAACCACAGCTTGGGTGCAAACCTTTGACTGTCCAGCAGGTTGGGACATCTTCCGCATACTAGCAAAAATAGAAATTGTGAAATGTATATTAAAATATTGGACCTACGCAGAAATTTTAGTAATAATGTAGGAAAAAAGTAAGTCCAAATTATTATTGCTTAATAATGACCATGACGAAAACTGAATATATTAATTTGGATGTTGAATAGGCCGAACAATTTCATCTCAATCTTGCATTCAATGTAAAATTTAGCATACAATCAATGGCTGCAGAGAACAACAGTGGCACATATTCATCCCTTAAACACTGTACATGTTCAGGAGGGGAACTTTCAAGGAGCAAAGCACTTCTAAGATATACTAAGTGAATGGCACTATATAGTGCAACAATACACCTGCACACTGCACAGAAGTGCATTATACGGACACATAGCAGTAAAGTGCAATACCCAAATAGATACAAATGGACTTTTTACTGGTAATATGCCAACCATTTTTCACGGAACAAGGAAAAGGTCCCAGTGGACCATCTAAGACCGAGCTTGTTTTCTTGTTAATTCTATAAAAAGGCTTCTTCTACCCAATTGTGCAAATCCACATGGAAGGGTGATGTCCACAACTCTAGTCTCCTTTTCTTTTTTTCAATTTATTTTTATTTTTTAGATTATTTTTAGGTGTTATAATTGTATTGTGTTTACTGCAGTCTGGTATAATGATCTTGAGAGTCTGTTCAGTCTTCTTTTGTATAGGATTCCTCGAATTCCTCAGTAAGCATCGTTCTTTGTTGAAGAAGAGCCTTTAGGTATGCCTTTTCCCCCACAGGACTACGAGGAACCTATAATAATAATTATTAATAATCATCTTTGATTTGCTATAGTACTTTATGATATCACTGCAACATCTCAAAGAACATCACAGGATTGACTGTAAAGTGTCTGTATTTATAGGTGATTAATGATAATAATCTTTGCATTTCATATAATGCCTTGTCACATCTTCAAGATGTCTCAAAGGATCTACTGAAATATTTACAGAGGTGAACTCCTGTACATCTTTTCAATCATTCTTAAATTATGACCTTTCAGGGTGTGTCAGTCTGATGCAATGGTAGTAGCCCCCTCGCCACTGAGTCACAAGGTTGCGGGTTCAAGCCCCATGTCAGGAGTTAGAAGCTGGCACTCTAATGCAGTGCTGGGGCAGTGTTGCTTTGTCAGAGGTGCTGTCCTTTGGATGAGATGTTAAATCAAGATCACGTCTTCCTGTCGAGGCGAGTGATAAAGATCCCATGGCACTATTCAAAGTTCTCCTGGTGTCCTAGCCAACAAATCACTGAAATAAAATTGATCTCTCGCTGCTGTGTGTAATTGACTGTTCCGTTTCACCCATAAAGTATACAGTCCATCCATTTACTTTATAGTATATCCTGTGAAACACTTTGAGATATCTCAATGACGTGACAACGCAAGGATTATTTTTATTATTATGATTTACCACATCTTGAATGCAGCCAGTAGATGTCTCCTGGTTCTCTGGTACTTTCTGGTTTTGCTCATGCACCTGATATTTTGGGTTGTGGATTTATTGGGATGATTTGGTTCAGTTTTGGGTCTATTTCTGTGCTAGCAGCAAAACTACCACGTGGATGCTGATTGTCCATGATTTTTCATATTGTTGACGGTTGAAGACGTTCACAACGCAGGGCTAATTGTGAATGGTTTAATTACCTTATTTTATTCTAAGGCTGTCTTAATTAGCAAGTTCTTGTACTCATTCTTCTTTACATATTGAATCTTAAGTTATAATTTGGCAGCAGATATTTCAGATTTCTTAACATTTTGTGTTAATAATAATAATAAGTAATCCTTGCGCTTGATATAGCGCTTTTCACGTCTTCTCGACGTCTCAAAGCGCTTCACAGAATATACTGTAAAGTGAATTGATCGGAAATTTGTGGGCGAAACTCGGCAGCCAATTGCGCACAGCAGTGTCCCACAAACAGTCCGAGCGTTGAAAACGACCAATTTATTATTGTTTTTCGTTTTGGTGGGGAGTATTATTTACTTGGGCTGGATAAGGTCTTGGAAATCTAATAGTTAAGTTTCCTATTGGAATTATATGGGGGGGGGGAAGGAGCAGATGAATGGAATAAGATGTGGTAAAAGCCCAGTGACCTTTTGTGCTGTTACTTTCTGCGGCTATCGCTGTAGGTAAGTTAACCAGTCTGAGGATCTACACACCAATGTCAATGATTCTGGAAATACAGCAGCCACAACCAGATCAGGTAACAACTTGGGTTGCACTTTAAAACACTCCTGCTGTAAATTTGACCCCTGGATGAGCCAGACAGGTCCAGAATTCCTCGTGGGTTGAAACATTCGACCGTCCAGCAATGTGACTTGACTTTTTTTTTTAGGTTTGCAAGATTTGGAATTGAATTGAATTCAACCTGGCGCTCATATTTCTTTCACATCTTTCTTACCCAAAGAATCGTGTGTTAATCCCCATCACACTGCAATTATATACTATTTTTCCCCCCCCCCTCAATTTTTTTTACCCCTCCTCCAAAACAAAGTTATTACACTCAACAGACAAACACCCCACAAACAGGAGTGTCTGCTTGACTGCCTCCTGCTATTACTGGGAGTTGGGGAGGGAGATCTCTCCACTTCTTAATCTAGAGATGAAATCTCATCAGAATATTAGTGCTGGATGTTTGTCATCTACTCCTCCTCCTCCTCCTCTGTTTAAAATGGAGTAGAATCAGCACAAACCATACGAACAACAGTAAAAGCTGATTTAAACTCTTGGGACGGTGGAAAGAAAAAAAATAGGGCATTTTGATGTGCAATTTTTTTCTCCCCTCCTCTAACATTCTGCATTTGTTTCTGGTGGGATATAGTTGATTTGGTGGTGATTTCTCTTTACACACACACACACACACGTTTGCTTTTTTTTAACTACTGCCATTTTAGAATCGAGTCACTGAAATACCACCATCTTCCATTGAGTTATAACACTCCTGAGTCAGTTCCCCGACACCCCCCACCCACCCACAAAAATGCATCATTGTCACGAACAGATTTTTTAAAATATATATTATATATATATATTTAGTTATGTTTTATTTTTTTGATTTATAAATTAAAATAAAAAAAGACTCCAGGCATAAAGAATGCAATCGTTGCTCCAGTTGATGAATGGAACACAAGGAGCACGTTGGGTGGGTGGGGGAGTGGGAGGGAGTGGGTGGGGGTGTGGGTGGGAGTGGGTGGGGGGTGTGGGAGGGAGTGGAGTTGGGGGGGGGGGGGGGGGAGAGTGAAATCGTACACAAAAGTGCAGTGAAAGAGTTGCATTGACTTAAACTGGGTGGTGAAGTGGGTGAGTGGGAAAGAGGAGGGGGTGGGTGGGTGGTGGGGGGGGGTGTGGGTGTGTGTGTGTGTTTGGGTGGTGTGTGTGTGTGTGGGTGGTGTGTGTGTGTGTGGGTGGTGTGTGTGTGTGGGTGGTGTGTATGTTGAGGGGGGGGTGTGTTTGGGTGGTGTGTGTGTTGAGGGGGGGGTGTGTGTGGGTGGTGTGTGTGTTGAGGGGTGTGTGTGTGTGGGTGGTGGGTGTGTTGAGGGGGGGGTGTGGGTGGTGGTGGTGGTAGAGGATGGGTGACCATCAATGAGGGCGTCACCTAAACTGAGAGTCCAATAGGGATGGGGTGAGTGAGTGAGTGAGTGGGAGGAGGAGAGAGAGTGAGTGAGTGAGTGAATGAGGGGTGGGGGCGTGTTTGTGGGACATTTTGTTTCCAATCGCATCACTAAAGCTTTTATTGATACAAACGAGAGGCGTCACAGCGACAGTGTATTTACTACAGAGCCGCAGCCACACACTGCACTGCACTGACTGCACCTCATCTCCGCTCGGGCTGTGATCTCTCTCTCTCTCTCTCTCTCTCTATATATATATCTATTATTTTTATTTTTTTTTCCGAGTCTTACGGTTTCTCATCCAAAAACGCCTTTCGAGGACTTTACTTCTTTTCCTTTCCGACCACCAACCAAAACAAAAGGACTCCCTCTCCTGTCCTGGTCCTCTCCTGGTCCTGGTCCTGGTCTTTCTGGTTTTAAAAGGGGTTGAAAAATAATCTCTTTAAAGTGTTATTTTTCCTTTAATCTCTTCCCCCCCCCCCTCACCCCCTCTCTCCCTCTCTCTCTCTCTCCCCCACCCTCTCCTCTTCCCCCGTTATCCTCTCCAAACGATTATTTTCTCTTGTGTTTCTGGTTCAATTTGTTTCCCTTTTTCTTTCTCTTTTTCTCTTTTTCTCTTTCTCTCTTTCTTTCTTTCTTTCTCTCCCTCTTTTCTCTCCTCCCTCCCCCTTCCCATCTCTCTCTCTCTCTCTTGTCATCGTGTTTTACGCACCTGACACCCGTTGGAGAAAGAGATAACGAGGTGTTGGGGGGGGGAGGAAAGAGAGAGAGAAGGGGAGAAAAGAGAGATAACTTGGTATTCAGGGGGTGGTGGGGGGGTCCCTTATCTCTCTCTCTCTCTCTTAGGAATTAATACAGATATATATATATATATATATAGGGGAAGGGAGGAAAGGAAAGGGGAGAGAGAGAAAAGGAAGGAGGGAGGGAAGGAGGAAGAAGAAGAAGAAGAAGAGGAGGAAAAAAAAAACAACAACAGCAACAACAGCAGCAACAACAAAAAAAAAAAGAAATCTTTTTTATTTTCCAAAACCCAAACCCAACGGCGGGTGGAAAAGAAAAAGAAAAAGAAAAAGAAAGAGAAAAAAAAATTATTATCATCATTGCCATGAAAACCAAATTCTCGAGCGCAGTGGCCGCTCCGGTGATCGGAGTGTTGATCGGAGCGAACGGTCTGCGAGTGGAGCCCGAGGTGCGGACCGACTGCAAAGCCGCCCGACAGGACAGTCCCGACCCGCAGACCAGACACCGAGCCTTCCGCTGGTGCAGGGACTTCCTGCGCGGGGCCTGGAAGAGCTTACCCGAGGAGGAGTTTCAAATCAGTATCATCAGGTTCGTGCCTCCACACACATATTTTCCATCTCTCTCTCTCTCTCTCTATATTTTTAAGAAAAAATAATTTTTTTTTTAAATTATTTTTTTATATATAAAATTTTTTTTAAAATTTTTTTTTTTGAAATTTTCGTTTCCAAATTTTCGTTTTTCACAACAAAAACAAAGGGCGCAGTTTTAAGGCCAAGTTGTTGGCCTTGTGTTCTGTTGGGGGGTCGATTTGTTGCGTTGGGGTATCCAGTTGTGTGTGTGTAACTGTTATTTTTATTATTATTATTATATATATGTATGTGTGTGTGTGTGTCTATATGTATGGATTTTAAGTTGACTCGTGTTGCTCCCCACTCCCCCTCCCTCCCCCCTCCCCCAAAAAAGGGAAGAGAAATCAAACGCATGATTTAAAATGGAGCCTTTTTTTAAAAAGATTCCCCCCCCCTCTTTTTTTTAAAAAAAAAACATTTTTTTTTTAAAAAAACTGTCTAAAATGGAGAATTTTAAACGCGTAGGTAAGTAACGCTGACTTTTTCATTCATTGAACTGCAGACACACAACACACACACACCCCAAAAAAAAAATGGGCAATATCATGGGTTGATCTGAAAATCCTGTTCAGGTCTTTTGAGGAACTTTTCTGCAATTGGATCAGTTTTGCAGAGGGTTGGGGTGGAGGGGGGAGGGTTATAGTTATGCATTTGAATTTAAAAAAATGTGTATGTGTATTATAGCGCTCTTTGGGTTATTGTAGTTTCATCAGAAATGCAGCAGCAGTTTCATAAGGCGCGATTGGTCGTGTTTTTTTTAACTGGAATTATTGTAGATGGGAAATCCTGTGATACAAAGGAAAGGTTCCCTTATCTCCAGGGGTTGAAAGGCTTCGGAGGACACCATAGCAACCTGATCCTCTTGAACCTCTTTGCAAACCTTAAGGCTGGGAGGGTAGGGAAGAGGTGAAGAGGAGAGAGCATTGTATTTCGAGAACAACCCGTAGTTTCGCTTAAACCCATTTTCTGTGGTCAACCGGCTGTCTGACACATGGGGGAAACCCATCGACATGCTTTGGGAGTATCCAAACCAAGCTTGAGATTTCCATGCCCAAATGGAGTTTAGTTTAAACTCTCAAATGGTCGGTATGTTACAAGGGGAAGCCAGGGCTGAGGACTGGTTAATTGGGCTCCCAAGATAGTCAATCACCACTCTGTCCTATTTTGATTCGAACTGAACGTAATCGTCCTCCACATTTCGTGCACTCGAATCGTTAAGCGTGGTTAGCTGACTGTGTCCCTTCACCACCCATTTGCGCTGGACTTGACATATTCTCACTTGACGATAATGCGTAACTTCTTTTAATCACGCATCCCCTCAAGAACAAATGATGCAGGGTTCGTTTGATCATAATTTGGAATGAAAAGTTGCTGCATTTGGGTGGGGCATGTGGATTCTGTGAAGATGCGGGTGAGATAGAATAAAGCACAATAACGTAAGACTTGTCTTATTGTTTTGTGGTTTAGTTGACACATTTGCCAGTCTGGTTATTTGCTGTCACCTGCCACAAAGTATTCTCAGCGCACAGTTGAAAAAATACTGAGTGGAAAACTATCCCACCCAGCTGCAGTAATGGCAGGCTGCACACAGAATGCATTGGTGCAGTGAGATGCAGTGTTTTCCCTTGCGGTGGAGAATACATTTGTAATCAATGCACTGCTTGCAGGCTGGAGCACATTGAGAGCAGAGCACATGACAAAAAGTTTGGGAGCACTGAACTGTAGTGCCATCCTGAAATTTCTGTGTTTCTATTCTGTTTTAAAAGCTTAATTGCCACAGTGCAAGCATTTACAGATTATATGGCATAGTTTCCCTTCTCCCCCGCGCGCACCATAAACAAATGGAGTTTCTCTTGAGCGAAGTTCAGAATCCATGTTTTGGCTGTACTTGCATTATGGGGCAGGGATGGTAGCAATCTTTATGCCCAATTAATTACACAAGTTCTGCAATAACATGTTAGACTTGAAAACAAAATGTGCAATATCGTGGGTGGATCTAAAAATCCTATTTTTAAAAAACGTTTCTGCAATTGGATCAATTTACAGAGGTTGGGTGGGTTTATAGCTATTCATTTGATTAAAAAATATATAGGGTCAGTATAGTTTCATCAGAAATGCAGCTCAAATCGCTGGGGGAGTATATCGCCCCCTTTGTTCCTTTACTCTTGGGTTAACTTGTTGCAGGATCTAGTTTGCATTGTCTACCTGGAAAGGAGAGCCCTGCTGACAATTCCAGTTAAGACCAATTGAGTTACCGTTACTTGTGATGGGATTGTACATAGACTATTGGAGTGTTTCCAACTACTGTAGCTGGTTTATAGAGCGACAATACTTGTGAACGTTGTAGGTAAGTTGTAATTTTAATTTAACCGAAGTTAGTAATACGGTTGAAATGCTACAGCTGTTTTTTTAAAAAAAACTTGCATTTCATACAACGTTTTTTACATCGGGAGGATGTCTCAAAGTGCTTCCCAGGATTTCCTATAAAGTGTAGTTTGTAATCACTGTATATTTTGTTGGTGAGCACAGCAGTCAATTTGCGCACAGCTGTGCCCCACAAACAGCTATGAACAACGAACGACCAATTTTATCTGGAGGATTGTTGGTCAGGATATTGGGAGAAACTCCCTTCCCTTTTTGAGTTGTGCCGTGAGATCTTTACCCTGAATAGGCAGATGGGACATCTTGGTTTAACATCTCATCCGAAGGACAGCATATCCAGAAATGCAGTGCTCCCCCAGGACTGTATTGTAGTGTAAGCCTTGACTGTGAGCTCAAATTCTTGAAATGGGTGTATGGGGGGGGGGGGGGGGGGGAGTAAAGGGGGATATTGAGCGGAATTTTTCTTTATTTTTTCTCTTTGCATCCTCACTGTGTTGCAATCAAGACCGATTTCAACTATCTCCCCATCTAAATCATTCTTTTTTATGACCTCAAGTCTGTTATTTTGCCCTTCCTATTACTGTTGTGGCCTTTTAAAATCCAAGCTTGAAATCACCTGGCTAGTGATCCTTGGCTTATCTTGTTTTCTTTCTTGCTTTGAAAATATATGTTGTGTTTAGCAACAGATTCATGTGATGCTGATTTCAAAGCATTCAGTACAGCGGTTCCCTCTCTTGTTTTGTAACTAATGTGGCGGAAATTCACTTCAGTTTTAGCAACTAAACTCGTGATGGTTAGCATTATTTTTATCCTTCTCTATTTTACAGGGGTGGCCTCAGTAATCTGCTTTTTCTGTGCTCCCTGCCTGATACTAAGAGCTGTGTGGCAGATGAACCTCGCAATGTTCTCCTTCGATTGTATGGTGCAATCCTGCAGGTGAGACCGGGCTTCCTGAGGTAGGAAGTGCCTTCAATGTGTGTTATCAAGAATTCTTAAGATGTTTTGGAGAATATCGGGAACTAGTGGGAAAATTACAGTCATAATCTATGAGTTCATCTTAACAGTTTTTAAATTATTTTTTTTATATATGTGTACGCATGTCTTCGTAATATTTGTTTTATGTAAACATATAAGAGTTTTAAAATGTTGGACTGTTAACCACATCTAGATTCAATAGCAATTGAGTTTTTGTCCACCTTTTTGGGGACATTATTCACAATGTTCATTTTGAACAGCACTATATTCTGGGCAATGGTTACAATAATCTGCAGTGAGCAAAAGCCAAGGACTGCTCATATGACCCAACTGATGTTGTTCAAACATATTCAAAGATATTGTTTAAACGTGTTATTTAATTTCTGGGTATGTATTTTCCTATTTGTAGACAAGTAGCTGGAAACATCATGTAAGTTAGATTTGTTATGGCATTGGACATGTTAGAATTCTGTATCTGGTGAGGCTACAGAATAAAGTACTGCCCTTGGGAGACATCATGGAACATTAAACAGTGGACAAAAATTGCAAAAGTTAGCGGTGAATAAGAATTGTTCCATTCACTGCCTGATCCATGCTGATGCAGCATTATAACAATTGGCCTTGATGGGCAAGGGAAGGGGGGAACTAGTCATGGGTTCCTATGGCTGGTTGCAATCCAGTGACTCTTCTGGGAAATGCATGCATGGCTTTCGAGTGGGAGCAGGATTATGATACACCACCACTGGGTGAATCATCTGCCATCACTTGATGTGTATTCTTAGACATGAATAGTGACTAGTTGGGCCAGCTGTCGGAGGGCAGTTGGCTCCTGTGGAACTGTGTCCCCCAGCAAGAGGTGGAACCTTCAGGAGAGAAGAAGGGGAGAAAATTGAGGAGAACAAAAATGCTTTCTTTTCAGAAAATTTCATCTGAAAATGATACTTTCCAATTTGAGCACTGAAAGATTGGTCATGGAAACGCACGCAGAGAACATTTATTTGTTTCTGTGCTTGCTCTTTGAATGCTGCAATTAATAAAATGTCAATCTTCTCAATTCTATGGCATCACACATTCTGGGAAAACTGACTGGTATTTGGGAGACAAGATCAGTAAACACATACAGAAAGAGTCTCTTGTTACTGTCAGTCAAGAGGTAGAATGCCTCCTTCATGCGTCACATGTTGTGTTTAAATTGTTCTGAAATTATTGTTCTACGTCTTGCCCTTATCGCTGGCTGAATGGCAGGATGAAAACAACGATAGTTGCTCATTCAGTTTATGTCCCTTCCACTTTGATAACCTTTGGATATTGCTGTGGTAGTTAATCATTACTAAAGGTGTTTGGGCTGGTTTTTGACTTGCATGATTACTTTATAAAACTTCCACCTCACAAGAACAGACAGAATTTGCAACAAGTTCTGATCGTTACTGTTGGGCTGCAGATTAGCAACAAAATCCTAGCAACACATACTGTGTGGATGTACTGTTATTGGATTACAAATCCTATATTCTTGGTGAGATGCAATGAGAATAAAGCCATTGCTGTTTCTATGTAAATGTGATGCATTGCACAATTTGTAGCGGTTAAACTGATCTTTTACTGAAATGTCATTAAATGACCAGAACCCTTGTTTGTAACTGGGCTGTTTACCTTTTTATTGAGTAAAGAGGAACAAATCTTCAGTATTTGGTTGGATAGCCTTAATAAAGAGTTTCACGGAGGCGATCAGCTTTTAACATATCATTCCATTTTTATTTCTCTCTAAATTTCTCTTATTTTCCCAGAAATCATTGACATAGGTATCTTGTCCATGTGGAAATGGTTCAGATGAAAGGGTGGACAGGTTATTCAACCATGGGTGCTATCAGTGCTGATTGATGTCCACCCCACTTATAACAGACAGGAACAGGAACCCAGTCTTGTTTATGTATTCTTTTCCCTCTCTAAACCCAGGGACACTTGGGCCAAATGTCACCCTTACATGCATTTGTCTAACACACTGGAGATCAAATCCTGCTAGTGTTCACCTCAGTGGTGCACAAAGCCATTACTGACTGAGTTGTTGGGTAGCTATCATTCAACTTTGGTTTTATTTTTCCAGCACATTAACTTCAAATGCATTTGGTTTGTTGTCAACAGGAATTGTCCTTTTTTTTTAATCCATAAGATTGCTGCTTTTCATTTTACATATTGTTCAAAACCAAGCTATTATAGAACAGTAACATTCAATTATTTTAGCGGTGAATAGGTTCAATGCATTCAAGAGACTTTTGTTTGATGTCCACAAGCTTCAATGTCTTGGCTGATTGTTAACATGGAAGGTTGTGCTTTAATGCATGTTATAGAACAGCTCTTTATTGAGAAATTAAATGGAGTGCTTCATTTAGCATCATTGTTAAACTAACAATCAGTACAAAACACAATACCTATCTACGAATTCAGTTATACCTGTGGTAAGGGACTATTCTTGATTTGCTTCCCAAACCATTGGTATCTTTCAGGATATTCTTGTACGCCCTTACTTAAAGATATGCAACATATCAGGGTTCACTGGGAAAAGTGCAGTAATAAGGCAATTTCATCCATCTGCTGATGCAAACAATTTTCAATTAAAAGGCTACATTTTGGTGTGTATTTTCCTCAGCTTGCAGTTTGCTCACCATATCCTTAGATTCAATTCATGGTGCCATAAAAGCTAGGGATGAAACCAATGGATACAACTCTTCAGAACAAGATAGTTAAGTCACGCAGCAAAGAATTAAACTGTAATCCAATTGAAGGACAGTTGTGCCTTCATCAACCCACCTATTTGTGAAATCCTAATACAAAGGTTTGTGAGAAATCAGTATAATTTGCACCAAAAAAGTGAAAATAAACTGACATACTAAAGTGTATGAGGTTCTCACTATGATAATTTAGCCTTTTCTGTTTGCAAGTTAATAGACTGTGATCAGTATATAACAATTAGATTCATGTACCCGAACACACAAAGAGCATAGTTTGTTGAAAGATTCGACTGCTGTTGCCATTCCCTATAAAGAAATCTTACAAAGACTTAAATCCATCAAAACTTTGCAGAAATAAGTAACGTTGGAGGGGAAGATGGGGGAGAATCTGACTGTTTCATACTTTAAGAAGGCTGGAGCATGTTTGCAGGGTATGGAGTTCAGGCTACACTTCTATGCTTTAATAAACGCATGTTGTCCTTGAAAACATTTGGAATATCACAATGTTTATGGCAGCTGAATTGAGGTAAGAATTTTATATTGGTAATCAATTTACAGGAGAGTGAGAGAAAACCTCTGTTTTTAGGTGGTACGCCAAGCATCTGCAATGAATTTTACTTCAGGTAAATTCAGTATTCAAGCTTGCATTTTTTCTTGTGCTATTGCAAATAAGTATAATTACAAGCACGCCAACAATGTTCTTCAGACCTTTGGATTGTTAGTAATGAGTTTCAATTGAAACAAATTGTTAAAATGATAAGTAAGACACAAGCAGAAAAGGTAAACTATCAGGATTTTCATTTTGCCTTATTGATTCAGAAATGGTGCCTGATGTATTAACATTGTGATATGTTTTCAAGTTCACAGCAGGCTGTTTCCCCGCCCCCTACCGCACACACACACACAATTTATTTCAAATGTATCCTTGGGGTAATGAAATAGATTAACATGCGTATGGTTTTCTCAACAGTAATGAAGAGTTTTGATACTGCTCTTTGTTATTAGTAAGGCAATAAGATTTAATGTGGGTATGTTCAATATTAGTTTTGCTTATCAATATGCGAAACAACTCTGATTAATAAATGTTTACTCAGAGTAGCAGTTTCAAGTACCTATAATAATAACCTTTGCATTTTATATAGCGCCCTATCACGTCGTCGAGACGTCTCAAAGCGCTTCACAGAATATACTGTAAAGTGAATTGACTGTATTTTGTGGGCAAAACGCGGCAGCCAGTTTGTGCACAGCAAAGCCCCAAACAGTCATGGATTGAGTGACCAAATTATTATTATTATTTATATATAATTTACACTGGAAACATCTTGTTTTTGTTTCTACTACATAGAGTTCATTTGTACAAATGGTTACTAAATAATGCTAAGTAATACCTGTGTCAGTTTTTAAAAAAAATATTTTCACTCGATTTTTGTTGGTGTAACCTCAAGGCACAATTGAGGCATTGGGCAAAACCAAAATGGAATTTTGTCAAATAAATTGACTCGCAGGCCACATTTACTGTTTGGTTCTGAAATGGCAATATTTTCCAATGGCTATTTTCTCCTTTTATCTGTAGTTATTGCTCAAGAAAATTGTCTCATAATATGTCCCAACACATAACTATTGTTTGAAGATGGAATAAAATGTGAGAAATTCCGTTATTTATCACTGATTGCTTATAATCTCTGGTCAAGAACTACATCATTTTTGCTTTTCTGGCAATCCAGTAAGATCTTGGTGAGACCGTTAGTTTACCATATTCGGATAAAACTTATTTTTACTGAGTTAGGTTAACCCTCTGTTTTGCAGGCTATGACGTTTGGGGCTGACCTTATGTTAGCTTCATGAATCTCGTTCAATTCCATGTTCTCAGCTTCATTTTCAATTTCAGATTGCAGACTTCAAAGACTGCAGTGTCACAGCAGATGTGTCGAATACTGCCGGACAAAAGTAACTGGGAGTTTGCTAACTGGTTAGCGATTCTTGTCACTAAGCTTGAGGTGCCATTAGATAAATGACAGGCTATTTTTTTCTGGAGAGGCAAAACCCTGTATTTCTAGTCTGAAGCAATATGAACTTTTACATTGGTGCATCCATGGAAAGTAGTTTGCAAATTTCTGAAGTAAGTTGAACCAATTATTTGTTTTCAAAAAGTTTGCTTTTGTGCAAGATGGTTACATTAATGATAGATGTGCATGCTTTTTTTTAGAGAGTATTTTAAAAGAGTTTAGTTAAACA